GTGACTGTCTAGGCAGTGAGATATCTCTGTCATTTCTAGAGTTTTGGAAGTTGTTTACTTCTTGTTTACTTAGGTAATATTATATCCTTCTAGAGTTTTTGATGGAGTTAAAGAATAGATAGATAGTTATACTTCTAGTTTTCCATTGTTATGATAAAAAATGCAATAGATATAAATATATTGTAACTGTAATTCTTGCTTGATAACTGTTTTGTTATATGTAATTTTACTATGTTAAAGTTAAAGCCTTCTTTTTTGTTTAAAGAGAAAAAGGGGGAAATGGTGTAGGAGGTCCTTCTATATTTGTGTTGTTTTCATTGGTTGAATAAAAATATTGCCTTGGCTTTTAATAGGACAGAAACTTAAATAGGCAGGGAAGACAGAACAGAATTCTGGGAAAAAGGGCAGTGTGGCAGATGCCATGATTCTCCTGCCTGAGACGGATGCTGGTTAGACTCATGCCAGTAAGCCACAGTCAAGTGACGATACACATTAATGGAAATGGGTTAAATCAAGCTGTGAGAGTTAACCAATAAGAGGCTAGAGATAATGGGCCAAGCAGTGTTTTAATTAATACAATTTCTGTGTGATTATTTCGGGTATAAGCTAGTTGGGCAGGACAAAACAAAGGGACCCCACTCCCTACTACAGTGACAGAAAGGAACATATAGCTCCATGCTCCCTGCCCAGGATAGGTTGAAATGCTGGCATGGAGGACAAAATGACTATTTATAATACTCATTGATATACAAGAAAAATAGGTCCAGAGTTGTCAAGCAATGAATTTATTAAGTAAAATCATCCTATCATAAAAATACCTATGTTGGTTCTTTATGCAGAACCACAGAACCAAAGAGGACATTCAGGACTATCATTACAATTTGGTTGTACTCAAAAGATCAGAGCTCCAGGGCCTGGTAGGCTGGGCACTACTCTGGTAAAAAATTTGTTAGTTAATGGTTCTTGGGTCCCCATACTATCTCTTTATGTTGCAAGGAACCTCTTGTTCATCCCAGCCACCCAGAACTAAAATAATCACATAGAAACTGTATTAGTTAACTCACTGCTTGGCCCATTAGCTCTACCTAACTCTTACATTAATTTAACCCATTTCTATTATTCTGTGTATTGTCACATGGCAGTGACATGTCTTACCAGCAAAGCATGTCTATCTCTGGTGGCAGATCCATAGCTTCCCCCCTGACTCGGCCTTCTTCCTCATAGCATTCTGTTTAATTTTCCCTGCCTACCTCAGTTCTGCCCTATCAACAGGCCCAAAGTATTTTCTTTATTAACCAATGAAAGCAACACAAAGACAGAAGGACCTCCTACACCATCCTTAAACACATTGGAAAGCAGAACTCATGATTGGGTCCTGTCATTGGTACTTGTTAAGGGGGAAAGGTAGGAGCCAGCCATGACAAGCTCAGTAGAGGCCTGAGTCTTAGGAGTTTACCCTGAGGCAATACCTGGTTCTGATAAAGACCACAAACTAAGACTGCCCAGGCACCACCCAAAATAAATTCCTAGGTTCCAACTGTTAGAGATAGGATCACCTGCCGCACACATCCTGCTGATGTAACTTTTCTGGTGTTTGCCTTTAAATGATGCCTCTAGAAGGGCTAGGTAGCTCTTCCTCCTCCTCCTTCTCCTCCTCCTCCTTCTTCTCTTCCTCCTCCTCCTCCTCCTCCTGCTGCTGCTGCTGCTGCTACTGCTGCTGCTGTGCTGATGAGGTCCCTGCCGGCTTGTGCACACAATAAACCTTACTTTTGCGTTTCGGTGAGTTGGTCTCCCTCATAGTCTTTTGGGGTCTTCACAGACTGTGCATAACAAAAACAAGTCTTCTATTAAAAACAATTGGAGTCAAGGCATAAAAAAAGTAAGTCAATGCTCTTTAAATTTCCAAATGTTGAGCGAAAATTATCTCAGGGCCTGTACCTCAAGTCCTGTAAGACAGAGAAAGCCTGGCTCAAGTTTGAAGGATAATCTCAAAGTTACCAAGTGAGGATGAGATGGCAGATTCTAGGTAGAAGCCCCAAGAGCCAGAGGGAGGGCTTGGCTGTTTCTCATTGGCTGGAGGTACCCCCACATCACATGATGTCACTTAACCTATATAAGCTAACACTCACAGTAATAAACTGAGCTCCTACTTTGACTTGACTTCCTATCACTTCTGATTGTCCTACATCACGTGACTACAGAATGGGCAGACAGCACACTCACCTTGCCCTAGGGAATAAGGCTAAGGAGGCCTGACATCCAAAAATGTTAATAATTCATTATATACAGGATGTTCTCTTTTTATCTAATTAATGTTTAAATAAATGTTAATTTTCATAGTTAACAAACTAAAAGAACAAAATTCAGTATTTTAGACTATATTATTGGGTATGATCTTGTCTATTTATCATTACTTAAAAATTTGGTTATGTTCTTTAAGTTGCTTTCTAAAAATTCATGGTTAAATACTATAAAAATATAACACCTGAAACAGATTGAGTTATTTGGTTATTAAATAATATAGCTGCTAAGGTAAAAGCTTATAAAAATAATCTTTTACTGATAAAGACATTGCAAAATTATTATCAATTAAATGTAAATTGTATGGGCCATACTGTTAACAATTAGAAAATTGCACTAGCATGTTACTTCGAATCTATGAAAAGGGATTCTCTTTTTAAGATTTTCTAAAAATACTCCATGAATAGTGACTAAAATTACCTTTAAAATCCTATAGAGATTGTTTTAATGCTTTTTTTAGATGGCTTATTTGAAAAAGATTATGCAAATAAAAGCTGATAATAGAATTGTTCAAATGCTGTTGCCACCATACTTTAAAAGTAAAACAGTTCCAATTATAGAACAAAAGCTTTTACAAATCCTGGAAAAAAAGGTATTTTGGCAAACTATTAATAACGATGAAAGGTCAAAGCTAAAATTGAAAGTAAGTAGCATTGAGATTCCAGGCCTACTAAAGTTGATGTACTGTAATTTTTCAAAATCCTAAAATCCCAATTGGCCTTTGCAAGAGGTCTCTGAAATTATGGGGCGCACGCATGAACGAATCAAAAAACTCACAACAAAGCCCACTTTAGGAGTTCATTAAGAAAGAGAAAGATATGTGTGCAGGCCTGAGGAAGTTGGTGCAGGGGAAGAGCATGGAGCAGGCTTGTCCAGCTTTTAAAGGCTTCCTAAAACATGTGCACAGGAACTTACACATGGACACAAGGGCTTATGTAGCTGTGTCATGTTTAGGTGACATGACCACGATAGGCATAGGTCACATAGGGCTTGAGGACCCTGGGTGGCTATGTAAATTGCCAGAGCACTTATCGGCGCACACATGGCCCTGGAACCTGGAAGCGCCAGCCAGAGTGCTGGGTGATAGAAAATATAACATTCCAACCTTTTGTTTATTATAAAAATTTGGTGGTGTTAGGGATTGCCAATGGGTTGGAATGGGGTGTTGGGTCTCTCGAGGCTACTTCCTGCTGGCTTGTGGGTGTTGGAGAGTTGGGGATCTTAACCAAATTCTGGGGTAACTGGCTACTTTCATGATTCCTGGACTCTGTTAAACTCTCTGGCTGGCAGCTTGGACCTGACAAGGCAAACGATTATGTTTAGAAAAATTTTAGTTCCTGGTGTTTCAGGAAGAGAGTCCCCAGATGGAAATGGAGGGGGATTTGCCACACCAACTCCAGTGTCATCTGTGTAACATGACATACGTCATTATGCCGGATGGGAGCTCGTGTCCCATAGGACTAGGCTTCCTAGAGGTCACTGGCAGACAGCCCGGTATTAGCCACTGCTGAGGCATAGACGGTTTTCTCGATTAGCTAGCTATGCGAAATATGGGCTTTGCACAATCTCTTTTATAATAATGATATTCTATATATCTACAAGACAAGGATTATCTCTTCAGGAACAGCTCCGAGATAGGGAAGCAAAGTATGGGAATGTATAAAACTACATACACGGGGTGTATGATGAGCAAGGGAATAGATGGGTTAATGTTGATGGACAAAGACTGTTATATTATACTTTGAACTTTATGGATAGGCTTGCTAGATCCCAACCCCTCATAGTGTCTGCTGCATAAGAAGGTACTAAAAAGTATATTTCAACAGGTGCAGAGAACTGATATTTGGTCACTAGATGAGATAAAGGGTTAAGAAGAGGAAGGGCCATGATAGCGATAATGAGACAGAAACTTTCTATTCATAAAATGAAACCACTTGTCTGAGGTTTACATTCTCAAGGACAAGATTTCCTCTTCTAAGGATGTTTTATGTCTAACACCTGATAATATACTTTTCTTAAATATTGCTGATGTGACTAAAAGAAGCTTTCATACTGTGCCAACTAATGATACATGACCTTCTGATTTGTTCTTTGTTTGAATACTATATAATGAAAACATGAATTCAGTAAAATCGCAGCAGATTCCAGCCACTCTCTTGTGTGTTGTGTCTGTCTGTCATTCGCCAAACTTGTGCCTTCCTATTACCAGGACCCTGCTTCCCCCACAATCTGAGTGGCTCCCCTGAGCCCGTCCATGGCAGGGATTTTGCAGGGTTCCTGAGATGGAGGAGGGAGTTTTCCAGAGGTCCCGAGACAAAGAGTGATCTTGGGTGACCAGGGAAGTATTAAATGATACTTATCCTGGGTGAGATTGGTCTGTTGAGGTGGGTTCAATTTGGGTTCATAGAGTTTATGGGGATGTTTAAATGTATAAAAAGACATATTAATTTAGACATATTAAAAGCATATGGTTATGACGTATAGTGTTGGAATAGAAGATTATGAATAGTTGTATAGTGGGAGAGGAGGGAAGGGAAGAAAGGAAAATTATTAGACCTTTTAATGTTTTACCTGAAGCTGTTTTACATGAAGCAAATCTTAAGGCACTTTTTTTAGCACCATGGTATTACCTTAATGTCCAGGAGACCCTGCTGCAGTCAGTATTGAACCTGATATATTAAAATCACCTGGACAGGTTGTTTCGGAAGGGCTGCAACATGGACGATGAGGAGGAGACTTACCGGCTGTGGAAGATCCGCAAGACCATCATGCAGCTGTGTCATGACCGTGGCTACTTGGTGACTCAGGATGAGCTGGACCAGACACTTGAGGAGTTCAAGGCACAGTTTGGGGACAAACCCAGCGAAGGAAGACCAAGGCGCACAGACCTCACCGTGCTGGTGGCCCACAATGATGACCCCACAGACCAGATGTTTGTGTTCTTCCCAGAGGAGCCCAAGGTGGGCATCAAGACCATCAAGGTGTACTGCCAGCGCATGCAGGAGGAGAACATCACACGCGGGCTGATCGTGGTACAGCAGGGCATGACGCCCTCCGCCAAGCAGTCTCTGGTGGACATGGCACCGAAGTACGTTCTGGAGCAGTTCCTACAGCAAGAGCTGCTCATCAACATCACGGAATACGAGCTGGTCCCTGAGCATGTGGTCATGACAAAGGAGGAGGTGACAGAGCTGCTGGCTCGATACAAGCTTCGCGAAAGCCAGCTGCCCAGGATCCAGGCTGGGGACCCAGTGGCGCGCTATTTTGGGATCAAGCAGGGGCAGGTTGTGAAGATCATCCGGCCCAGTGAGACAGCCGGCCGCTACATCACCTACCGCCTGGTACAGTAGCACACAGCAGGTGAGCCCCGCCTGCCCCGGCCAGCACACTGCTCTGCCAGGGTCCCAGCTCAGACCCCTGTCCCATTCTGAAAAGCAGGACTGTTGGGTAAGACACTACAGCCCCCAGCCTGCTCTTCCCAGTGCACCCACTTGCGAAAGGAGCAACTGACTCTTGCAGGTTGTCCTCTGACCTCCCGTGAGGGCAGGCTGTAACCCCATCACCAGGAGGTGGGCCAGCACCCTGGAGACTGCAGGAGGATTGCTGCAACTTCAAGTGAGTTTATGACTTCAAGAACTGGTCCGTCGCCGCTCTGGTAGCTTCTGGTATGAGATACTCGTCTGAAAACAGGAAAGGAACCCGCGTAGGAGCCAGCTGATCTGCCCTTCCTCGTCACCAGCACCCTGCCTGCTGCTCTGTGGGGCCAAGGGTACCGGCCACAACCTCTTTGCCTTTTGACTAGAGGGTTCCCACCTGGCCAGTGCCTTGGGAATGTGGCCCTGGGCAGCCAGCATCACAGTCCTCCCTGTGCAATCTTGGTGCACTGGCTGCACCCCACACCTTCGTCACTGATCGCTGTCCTGTATAGAGTTCTCCATTCTGTAGACTCTGTTCTGAGAACTAAAGACATTTTGAGGAGAAAAAAAAATCACCTGGACATCTGACAATCTTTGAACCTCTGGTTCTGTGTTTAATGATAGTCCCTCTAACAACAACTGAATGGTTAACTGGAAATTCAAGTATGCCATTGGAGATACAGAGAAATTGGTAAAGAAGATAGGAGAAAGAGGGGAAAAAGGAAGAATCAGAAGGAGAGCATATGGAGTTTCTGGCACAAAAAAGTTGTGTACAACCCAGGGGCAACCAATCAGAGGGTGCCCCACAGCCTTATGCAAGCTTACCTTTCCCACCCTGCAGCTGAAAAGACCCTAACCACTAAGTCACCAACCAATCATATAGAAACTTATAAACTTTTTGTTTAAACGCACCAATCAGTCCCCAGACTAACCTCTCCTCCCTGGAATTCATCTGATCTTGTTTAAAAGAAGCCAACAGGCTTCTCTTGTCATCGCCATGTGGCACCCCAACATGTTGAAATTTTAATATAGCATTCTTGTTGATTTCAAAAAAAGAAAAAGTTGTGTACAGTGTTGAGACCTTATTCTTCTGGAACTGGAAAAAAAATAACTAATCTTTGTGTCCTCTGGAACTTAAGGGAGCAAGGCCCTGTTTGAGTTACCATCTATGAGGAGGGGGGTGTCCTGAGCTGGAAGAAGAAAAAGTTTGAGATGAGATGGGTGAATCCAATGAGGGAGACCCTTGAGCTTGGCAGCTGTGGGAGTTACAATCATTGCTTTAAAGGGGCCCTGCCACTTAGGGGAGAGGGGTGAGGGGCATTGGTCTGGGAGGGAAGAAAAGGACCTGGTCCCCGATTTTAATTGGAGATGGGCAGGGGTTGTTGGCACATAGGTGAGATAGTGAGTAGTCAGTAAAATCCCATAAGAGGGAGCAGAGGTTGTGTAGCAATGGGGTGAGCAGGTGAGTAGGGAGGGCTGAGGTTTTAGGTGAGAAGCCAAGAGTTAAACCTGGCAACACATACGTGAGTTCAAAGGCCGAGATGGGAAAGGGTCTTTGGGGAAAAACCGGGAGCCTGAAAAGAGCCAAAGGCAAAAGTTTTACCCAGTCAAGGTGAAGTTCCTATGACATCTTAACAAGAGTATTTTTTAAGGAACAGTTAGTTCATTCTACCTTCCCTGAGGACTGAGGATGGTATGGGATATAAAAATGCCAGGGGATGTTAAGAGTCTTAGATAAAGTTTGAGAGATCTAGGAGGTAAACTCTGGGTCATTATCTGACTGAAGAGATGTTGGGATTCCAAACTGGGGGATAATTTCCCAAAGAAAGACATCAGAAACTGTCTGGGCCCTCTTGTTAGTGGTGGGGAATGCTTCAATCCACCCAGACATGGTATCTACCGAAACCAGGAAATATATAACTCATCTGACTGTGGGCATATGAGGAAAATCAAGCTGCAAGTCAGTTCCTGGAAGGGAGCCCCTGTTCTGGTGAGTGGAAAAAGGTAAGCTACAATACTTGGTCCGGGATCTGACTTTTGACAAATTTTACAACAGGCAGTGATAGTTTTTAATAATTCTCAGTCCTTGTGGATAGGTTGGAGGTGAACCTTGACAAAGTGAGACGAACCTGGCTATTAGGATGAAAGAGCTGATATAGGTAGGGCAGAACTTGCTAGTGTCAGGCGGTGTTGGCGAGACTGTGGGCTGTACTATATGAACCCCCTGAGGTGACTGAGGTAGGTATGGGCCCTGGAGTGCTGCTGTCATGGCTACTTGGTCAGCTCAGCTATTTTCCTTGGAAATAATGGAGCTGGTGGTCTGATGAGATTCCTATAGCTTTGGGGGGACTAGGAGCCCTTCAACAGGTCCATAATGTAACCTGAGTTAGTTATGGATCCTCCCTTTTTCATAAAAAGCTCATGCTCTTTCCAAATATCCATGTGGGAGAGGGGCATGTGAAAAGCATGTATGGGGTCTGTGTAAACATTTAAAGATTGTCCCTGTGCCAACTGGAAGGCACGGGTGAGGGCTATTAATTTATAATGCTGGTTAGTGGTATGGGCGGGGAGTGTCTATGCCTCTCCCACCCCAGTATCTGACACAATGACATAGCCCCCTCGCATAAAAAGGAGCTGCCATATGTGTATCAGATAAAAGTGGCCTGGGGCAATTTTCCTTCTTTTATGTGTGAGGGGTGGTTTCTATGCAGGAATGAGATAGGGAATAATTAGTATTAGGCTGAGGTAGGAGATTTGAGATATTAAGGGGTGGGCAAGAGTGGAAAGTGAGAGTAGCATCTTCCACTAGTGCCACCTGAAGAGAAAGAACTTGGGAAAGAGGTAAGGTTTGTAAGCCTTTATAAATTAAGATATGGGACAGATTGTGGTTGGGAGAAGACAGTGGTAGGTGACCAAAGATTAGTTCATTTGACTCATGAATAAGGAGCTCAGCAGTCATTAAAGCACATATGCAGGGTGCCCAGCCCTGAGTGGTGAGGTCCAGCTTCTTTGACAGGTATGCTACAGGTCCAAAGGAAGGTTGTACCAGGCAGGTTGGCATAACTAAAAATTAATGAGTGAGATAAAGACCCCTAAAAATACAATTAAGTGGTGGGGTCTTATGAGGTAGATAAGGCTGTCCCCCTACCCAACAATAGGGAAACTAGAAGGAGAGGTAGGTACCCAAAACTCCCTTAGAACACTGTGGCTCCAGTGTTCACGAATAAGAAGATGGATTGTATTGATACTGTGATATTTACTCATGGCTTCCTATTACAGATGATGGTTGTGGTTGAGTCACAGGAGCCCAGGCAGACTCAATCATCCATGGCCAGACCTATAAGTTCAGTTTGGGAATTGTCTGGGTTTTATGTCTCCATGTCACAATGTGCATGAGGATGATCAACTGCCTAGTGCCTCTGACTTTGGACATGGTCTCATGGGACCAATATGTGGATTAGGACACAGCCAGACCCAATGTCCAGTGTTACCACATTGGAAACACAGGCCTGTTTGAGGCCCAGGGTCAAGGGAGCAGCATAGATAGGACAGTCAGTCTCCTCAGCCAGTCAGGTGACTGTGACTAGTATTTGACATTTGTGATTAAGGGTTTTATCATTTCTTGCATGATACACCTTAAAAGACAACTATAAGACTTCTACCTGTAGGATCAAGGGGCCTTTCTCCAAACATCTAAATGTGTCTGCTGAGGATGGAAAGGTAGAGGTTTCTTAGCAGGGCCTAGAGCTGAAATAGAGTGTTCCTTTGGCTTAGATGGCATAGCCATGAATATGTGAGCAGGTGAACAGCTTCTAAGGACTTAGAACTTAGATAGAAAAAGGCTTGGATATAAAGAAATGCCTTCCATCTGCCTGTGCGCTGACAATAGTTAGAAAACTACTGCAAAATAAAGGGATCTAAGATGCCATTAGGCGGCCACTTTAGGTTAAAATCTAAAAGGTACTTAGGCCATTTTTTAGAACAAAGACTGACAAGCATGGGACTCTGTAAGTAAGGCATTAAGCATTGGGGTTTTAGGGTCTCTAAAAGACATCCCAGAGGGGACTTTGCAGTTATAGTTTTTGAAGATTTATTTCCCATGGTTAAAAATGTGAGAAAGGTGAAAACAAAAGGCAACTAAGCAGGATATCTCCAGAAGAGTGTGTGGGTTGAAGGACCACTCCAAACGGCCAGAAACAGTCGCAATAGGACCACTTCTGAGTGGTTCAAAAGAAGGAAGGGAGGGAGGGAGGGAGGGAGGGAGGGAGGGAGGGAGGGAGGAAGGAAGACGAGTCTTTTTTAATTTGCCAATTATTTTATATTATATAAAAATACAACAATATTCTACAACATAAACAAATATAGCACATTTTTCCTAGTTGAAATAATTATTCTACAACACACCCCACTATTTAATCTAGAATTGACAGAAACATCCCATTGTCTGGACAGTCACACAAAGTTCTTCTGTAAAATTGGGAAATCCATCTTCAGACTACAGGCCCAAAGCACCCAGCAGACTTTTCCATGAAGCAAGAAATTTGAAAGTAGGAAGACAAGTCTTAACAGCAATAACAGGACCACTTCCGAGTAGTCTAAACAATAGCAACAGGACCATGTCCAATTGGTCTGAACAGCAGCATCACCAAATCTCAGTTTTTAGCCATGGCAAGCAACCAGAGGTGAATGTCAGCAAAGGGCTCAACTGTAGCTTTGAAGGCTGTGGTTGGGGGCATTTCACCCCTATTTCCAGGAACACCAGAGGGTTGTTGGTCAATGGTCAAATCCTCAGGTTCAGAAAAACAGTTAAGCTGACCAGAAAGGAAAATCTCACTGACTGAAGCACTGGTATGAGTCAGAATCAGCAGCTGGGCAGATGGAGTGTGAGTTGTAAAGAAACCCAGCCCAGGAATCCAGCCCCAGAAGAGGGGGCAGGAGAGCTGACAGAGTCTCACACCAAAGAAATTACTGGGCACAAGTGGGAATAGTTCACCAAATATACAACAAAATGGGTTTAGGAGTTTATTAAGAGAGAGAAAGACACATGTGCAGGCTTGAGAAAGCTGGTGCAGGGAGAGAGCGTGGAGTGAGTGTGTCCTGCTTTTGAAGGCTGCCTAGTGCATGCACACAAGGGCTTGACCACGTAGCACATAGGTCACACAGGGCTTGAGGACCCTGTCTGGCTATGTAAATTGCCTGAGTGCTTCTTGGTACATGCACAGCCCTGGAACTCAGATGTGCCAGCCAAAGCACTGGGTGATGGAAACCATAACAATCTCCACTCAACTTTTGGACATTAAAACCTTATCTCAGGTAGAGCAAAATTTAAAATGGATTAAATGTGTAAAAACTAAAGGACAGGAAAAAATGCTAAATCCTATATGGATAAAGCAATGCCCCTCGGGCTGGAGAGATGGCTTAGTGGTTAAGAGCATTGCCTGCTCCTCCAAAGGTCCTGAGTTCAATTC